GAGTAAGGAAGAGGAGGAGGAGAAGGAGAAGCAGAAAATGGAGGAAGAGGAGAACAGAGAAGAAGAGGAGAAAGAGGAGGAGGAGGAGAAGCAGAAGAAGGTGTAGAAGGAGGATAAAAACCCAGCATAAATATCACTGTAAATACCCATTCATGGGTTGCATCCATAAGCAACAAGTGTATTGACACAACTGTGACAAGTCAGTAGCTTGTTGTTGATACTTCACTTGTAATTGAAAGGCATGGCCTTTTCAAAGAACATGCTGTTTGCTTATAGAAGACAAGATATCTGTTTTACTTAATTATAAAATATGAAGCCATGTTCTGGTCCACCAGTCTTCTAAAATGGCCTACTGTTCCTGGAGGATGAGACCATAACTAGCATGAGAAGGTCATTACTGTATTTGTAGTCTACCATGCTTGTTTCACCTGTCATACATAATCCCCACACTTCCTAACTTGGAGAAGCAGAAAATCGTGGGTGAAATAATGCCTGCATTTTGGTGTTCCAACATAAAATGCATATGCCTTAGGTTTAATTGTAGTTTTTAAATGAGTATACTGACATCTGCCATTATATCTGACCTGTTAGTTTGCTGTTTGGTAGTGCTTTTGGACTATTAGTTTGCTTTTTGTGCACAAGAACATGAATATCTTAGATCCACTGGAACTGTACCTAACATTGTTAGAAAAACAAACTAGGGAAGAAAACCACAGGGAAGAAATGAGAGGAGGCAGAAGAGAAAAGAAGAAAGGAGGAAATCACTTGACAATTTGCAATTAATTAAACCAGGGTATATGTTTTAAATCAGACATAGTTCAGTAGTTACTGAACCATGAGATGGTGCAGTGGCTCATGCCTGTAATCCCAGCACTCTGGAAGGCCTAGGCATTAGGATCACTTGAGATGAAAAGTTCAAGAACTATGTTGACAAAATTGTGAAACCCCATCTCTATAAAAACTAAAATTAAAAAATTAGGCAGGTGCAGTCATGCATACCTGTATCTCTAGCTACTTAGGAGTATGAGGGGAGGTTTGCTTGAGCCCTGTAGTTCCAGACCGCAGTTACTATGATTGCACCACTGCACTCCAGCCTGGGTGATGAATGCAGCCCATGAACCTATTAAAAAAAAATACTCACTGAATCCTATGTAACTCTTTTTCATTGAGAATGTACAGAGAATGGGTTTGTTTTGTGCCTAGAAGAGACATTGTATCTATGATGCTTAGAAATTCCATTCCAAAAGAACAATAATAATTTAAATCTAATTTACTTGAATTACATATTTGCCTAAATAAATAATTTACATTTTTGTGTATTACCTATCGAACACCATAACTTCCAATAGGACTGTTCAAATTAGCATAGATTCATCTAATAAATATTTCCTTTCAAAACTCACACATAAATTCATTTTATTTTATTTTATTTTATTATTTTACTTTAAGTTCTGGGATACACATGCAGAACATGCAGATTTGTTGCACTGGTAAACATGTGCCATGGTGGTTTGCTGCACCTATTAACCCATCATCTAGGTTTGAAGCCCCACATGCATCAGCTATTTGCCCTGATGCTGTCCCTCCCTCCCCCATCACCAGGACCTGGTGGGTGTTGTTTCCTTCTCTGAATCAGACACAAATTAAAAACATAATTTCTATTAGTGGGATCAAGCTAAAGACAATGCATTTATAAATCTGTTATGTAGTTTTTCTCTCTTTAAAGTACACAGTGATGGTCACATGTGGCACCCTCTGAGGAACAATGGACTGGGCTGTATAACTTAACTGAACTTTAGAAATAAGTTTTGAATACTCAGTTCTTAGCACATCAAATTATCCAACCAGTAGCGAGTAGGTGAATGTTTGTATATGTTTGCCTATTAATTAAATTAAAATCCTGTTTTTCTCTTTCTATCTAATGTAGTTATTTCAACGAATGGCCTCTATAAAGACATATGAACCCCTGAAAACTTCAGGGAAGTAAATTCAAATTTCTAAACATAAGAAATCAGTTTTATGTGAGAGATATATGACCAAGCACTTAGAATCTATTGACATTAAATATGAGAATCTTTTTATTATATGTATCCAAAAGATGATCGAATTTTGGCAAATGTTTACAGTCACTTTATTACTTAAAATATTCAAAGTCAATATAAAGGTAGAAATACAAGATAAATAACGATTTGTAGAAAAACTTCTGAAGTATAGAATGACTCCAATTTTATTATGCTAATTATCACTATTTACTAGATAATGTGTAAAATTTTGTTAACATGGTAAGTATTATTTTTGACATAGCGTTGTTCCATCTTGGACATATATTTGTTGAAAAGTAGTAGATGGTATTCTACAGAAGCATCTTTATCACTGCAATCATTTCCATGCCTGGATTCCTCAGCATGCTTTTCCATTGTCTGACTCACTCAGGGCTAGACTAACACTGGGATTAGCACGTGATGGGTCCATTTGCTTTCTGGTTGCTTTGTCTTCACAATGGTCTATTGTAAAAATTCCCTGGTTAAGTTTATTTTTAGAATTTGTAGAGACAGATTTTGGGCATTACTTTCCATCTCGATCATATGATCTCATAATTCATGCTATTTAGAAAAACAAAAGGGAAATTTCAACGTGTTTAAATACATCAGCCATCTAGGAAAGGACATCTATTGAGGCTTCACTGACTTCTTGTCTCTCCTCTTGAGTAAAAGGTAATATGTTCAAGTACAATCCAATAGAATGTCTTAGCATAAGCTTTTGTTTGCTAAAATCAATTGTAACTCACTTATGAAAAATGTATATTATCTATTGATAACTTATTATAAAGAAATAATGACAATTTATTGGGATCTGAAGATGACTTCCAGGTCTCAATTCCTATGAATTAATACCAGCAATCATCATGCAAAATAACTAATATGGAATATGGCAATGTATGACATCCTCTCTGATGGTGGGACCTCAATGGACTCTTTTTATTTCCTTGCCTAGATACCTGGTATCTACTTTCTTAATTATTAATTCTACATTTAACTTAAAGTAGAATTTCAAATTTTACAAGAAGATACTGATAAATTCTCTCTTGGCAAATGTATTATCATAAAAATTTATTTTTAAAAGTTTACTTTCTTCTTAATAGGAAACTATGTTATTACTTTTTTATTGATCTTTCCATCATTTAAAACAGTTCTGTTATAATGCAAAGCATATACTGTGTAAGAGTTAGTCATCTCAATCTTACTAATTCATTTAACTCATTTTCATTCATTTGTGTTATGGCAGAAAAGAAACAGTTTACCGTTCCAGATTTTTATGATTGTATTATTGTGTTACTTGGGAAATATATTTTTCAAAACCATTAATTATATATTGATTATCTATGTTCATTCATCTATTAATTTATGTGTTAGTAAAAGAAGACCAATTTCTTAGAACTTTTCTTTTTATTTTGTACTTGCAACAGAATTGACAATCATAACAACAGTAAAATTCTCATGCCTTTTGTTTCATAAAAAGAGTTGTAGTAGGATTTGTATATTAGGTAATAGAAAAACTTCAAGAAATACATAATTTTTATAGTTAGTTCTATAGCAGAAGTTTTCATTTAAATGAGTGAAGCAAAATGAATGAATAAATAATATGGTAAATGCCATAAATCATGGGTTCTGCTTTCCATAATAGAGATGTAGGGCTCTTTAAGAGTAGGACATTTTATTATAATTAGACGAAAAATGTTACTGTAATGTTCTATCGTGAGTGACAGGTAAGAGAGATTAGAAAAAAATATTTAAATTACCTACTAATGAATTACTTTATAGCTGCAATTAACAGGTAAAAATGCCATGTAATTCTAAGTCTTGTGGTAATTGTATTTTCCAATGGAAATGCTTTTGTTTACCTATTTATAATTTAGAAATAAGTAATCTGCTATACTTTTTTACATCTGCAAAGTAACTAGATTCACTTCCATATACGTAATTATAAAATTACGTATATGGAAAGAATATCAGAGTCCCAGATGAGGCTAACTTTGTTGAATAATATTATTTGAAATGTTAAATAATCTTCACCAGTTCAACTTCTCAAAGTTGCTACAAATATATTCCCTGTCAATTCTCTTCATTTCATTTTTCTCTAATCAATATCACTAATGTTCTAATTTCAGGGTTATACCATCTGTGCTATTCTCTAATAGAAATCTGGCTCATATTCACTGACTTTATTATAAAGCAAGTCCCCGCTGCTTGTCATTCTACTTTCCAAATATCTCTTTACACTGTACCTTAATTACCATTCTTAATGTCATTATATAAGTCCCCTGTAATGACACAAGAACCTAAGTGATCATCTTTCCTCCAGTTTTGTCCTCCCTACATGCTGAACTGTTTTCTTTTTTTAACATGCTTTCCTCTCCATTTTATTTCTTTATAGGCTCCCAACACCTCCCTTTAGTCATTCCATATTATCCAGCTAAAGTTTGCCTTTCTTCGTTACCTTCTTACTCCCATCCTCTTGGTTTGTTTAAGATGTTCATTTGTGTGTTTCATTAGCATATTAATATTTCCAAATCAGAGCACTCACATTTACTTATCAATTCAGGAGACCATGCCTGGGGTTCACACCTGTAATCCAAGCATTTTGAAAGGACAAGGCAGGAAGATTCCTAGAGCCCAGGAGTTTCAGAACAGCCTGGGCAATATAGTGAGACTAAAAACATTCTCTACCTAAGAAAGAAAAAATTCACTGGGCATGTTGGCACACATTTGTAGTTCCAGCTACAAGTGGAACTAGGGAGGCTAAGATGGGACGATGGTTTGAGCCCAGGTTGTCCAGGCTTCAGTGGTCTGTGCTCATGCCCCTGCACTCCAGCCTGGAAAACAGAGCATGTCTCCCAGTGCTTTGAAGCATAGTGTCATCAATAGAAGTTTGATGAATGAATGCAAGAAATAATATGATTACTGATTTTTCATGTATGATTTTATAGGACTCAGCTAACTATGAAGTTTCTTGTCTTTGCTTTAATCTTGGCTCTCATGGTTTCCATGACTGTAAGTATATCTGGAAATTTTAAAGAATACATTCATTCTCAGTACTAATCCCAAGTGTCTCTTATTCCTTGTGTTCTGCATATACTCATGTTGACCTCAAAACAGCTCTATAGGCCGGGCACGGTGGCTCAAGCCTGTAATCCCAGCACTCTGGGAGGCCGAGACAGGCGGATCACGAGGTCAGGAGATCGAGACCATTCTGGCCTACACAGTGAAACCCCGTCTCTACTAAAAAATACAAAAAACTAGCCGGGCGAGGTGGCGGGCGCCTGTAGTCCCAGCTCCTCGGGAGGCTGAGGCAGGAGAATGGCGTAAACCCGGGAGGCGGAGCTTGCAGTGAGCTGAGATCCGGCCACTGCACTCCAACCTGGGCGACAGAGCGAGACTCCGTCTCAAAAAACAAACAAACAAACAAACAAAACAACAACAACAACAACAAACAGCTCTATAAGCTTTAATATTTCCATATAAAGAGTTTCTTTGAATTAACTTATATAAGTTCTTTAAGGACTTGGAATAGATATTCATTACATACCTGCAAACACTCAAGCACAATTACTTTAATGTAAAAGAAAATTTAGCAAGCTTTTTAAATATGTGGGATTAAGAACTGTGAAAGTATCTTTAAATATGAAAAGCTCTAGGCCATCTGAAGTTAGAGATCTGAGGAAAGAACAAGGTGCACTTAAATGGAACCCAAGTATTACAGGGTGTCAAAATATGAAGTTTTCAAGTCATTTCTTGCACAACCTAATTGTTAGAGTTAGCATAGAATTGTTTAATTCTTCTTAAAATAAAGCTGCTATTTTCAACCATAAAACAAATCTCTGTTATTTATTAAGTGTCATGGGTTCCCAGATCGTACTGCCATTTACTACTGTGTATTAGTAGGAAAAGCACTTGACCTCTCTGGAACTCTTTCTGCTTCTCTACTTCCACGTTCTCTTCCTCCTCCTCCGCCTCTTTCTATGAAGTTAATAGAAAATTGGTTGCAAAAGAATAATAATACTCCAAACTATCCACTAAATTCTAATGAATATTTTGAAAACTGAATTGGTTATGATATCATAGTTTATCACATTATTTTATTATAAAAGGATAGAAGTGGAAAAATAAACATATAAGAAGAACAGAGAAAAGTATAATGCTTATCTCTATTAGCAAATAAAATATTTGTATGTTGGTAGCTTTTGAGCTACATAGAACATATTCATATAAAAAACAATCCAGTGTTTCATTTGTCAGTTTCTACTCTCTTATTCATCAGTGATAGACTTTTCCTGCCTTACATAAAAAAGACATATCAACCAAAATGAGTTAATATTTGAATATAGCACAATAATTATAGAGTTTACCCTTCACTCATTTTAAAGATGTCATAAAGCTAAAATAACTAATTTAGTGTGTCATCAACCAAAGAATGCCTCCATTCTGTTTAATCATAATTGTGGCTAAGTCAATATTTATACTTACTCTTGAATTATAAAATTAAAATATTAATTGTTTTCTCATTTTCTTTTTTTTCCAAGAGAGCTGATTCACATAAAGGGGTAAGACTTTTCATTTACTGGAAAACTTGATAACTGATCCTATATTCAATTTTTAATCTTTTCTTTTCATTTCACAGAAACATCATGGGCACAGAAGAAAATTCCATGTAAGTGTTCTTCCGATAATGTGCACTCTGAATAAGTTTTCTCCTCTATATATTCTTCTAGAGAATCAATAGTTGTCTCTCAAATATATGTAAATCATTAATTGCTAAAGTGCACATTGATTTCATTTATTTATGATGCAAAGGCAAAAAGTCACAAATATCTTGTGTCCTAACAGTATTTCAATGGAAACTCAGTTCCACCTGAAATAAGTCAATTATTCTCTGAGAACTTATCTTTGTCCTGTAAATAATCACACTGACCTAAAGAATAGTTGAAATCCTAATTCTATTAAGTATAATATATGCTTAATGAAGCATAGAGGCTACTCATGTAATATGGTAAGTTTCTACCTTCTTAATTTTTGAGGATGATACAGTCTTTAAATTAAACTGTGCTAAATTAGACAGAAAGTTGTATTTCCCTAACATTTTTCTCACTGTATGTATATAAAGTCTCATATTATTTTGACCTATAATATCAATATGAATCTGGGTTCAAAAGTTCTCCTTACTGACATAGCAAGTATGCACGTTAAAAATGCACCAAGTAAAAAGATGCATAAAAAGGGATGAGGACTGTTTATGTTAACAGCACTGGGTATGAAAGAATGTAGGCATTGTAAAACAAAGTAAGATCACTAAAAGAATGAGATTAAGAAGCACCACTTAAGTTGGAAACAGTAACTTAATCCTTTCCGTAATACTCAATAGTTAGCAAAATAGTAGCTCGGAGGTGATATTTTAAAGAAGATTTAAACCCTGGTTAGAGAGGTTACCTATAATCAGTGTTTCCACCTGTACCACTGTCACAAAAATATCAACAAACAGTAAATACTTCATCATTTTTACCTACTTTTAAACATTTTTCTGACAAAAAAGAAAAATGTAAAAGTTTGAAAATATTTATGTAGATAAAATAAAAGGTCTTAACAACTTTAACAATCTAAGCTTTTAATGACAGTTTTTGAGAAACACTTGTGCTGTCATTGTCTCTATCTCCTTTTGTGTGTATACAGGAAAAGTATCATTCACATTGAGAATTTCCATCATATGGAGGCTACAGATCAAATTATCTGTATTACAATTGATATCCTCAGTAATCTTGGGGCATGATTATAAAGGTAAGCTGACTCTAGTTACTTTTCTTTCTAGAAGTATCAACACTGACAGTTAAAACAAGAAAAAAACAAACAAAAAAAAAAGCCATTAAGCCAACAACCATTCCAGTTTAAGAAACGTAGCATGGGTTAGCTCCTTCAAGTGTATTGATTTATATAAATGCTTCTGAAGCTGTAGATGTGTGGTGTTATTTCTGAGGTCTCTCTTCTGTTCCATTGGTCTATATGTCTGCTTTGGTACCAGTGCCATGCTGTTTTGGTAACTGTAGCCTTGTAGTATAGTTTGAAGTCAGGTAGCGTGATGGCTTGAGCTTTGTTCTTTTGCTTACCATTGTCTTGGGTATATGAGCTCTTCTTTGGATCCATATGAAATTTAAAGTAGTTATTTCTAATTCTGTGAAAAATGTCAATGGTCATTTGATGGGAATAGCATTGAATCTATAAATTACTTTGGTCAGTATGGCTGTTTTCATGATAATGATTCTTCTTATCCATGAGAATGGAATGTTTTTCCATTTGTTTGTGTCCTTTCTTATTTTCTTGAGCAGTGGTTTGTAGTTCTCCTTGAAGAGGTCCTTCACATCCTTTATTACCTGTATTTCTAGGTATTTTATTCTCTTGGTAGCAATTGTGAATGGGAGTTCATTCATGATTTGGGTCTCTGCTTGCCATCTGATATTCAACAAACCTGACAAAAACAAGTAATCAGGAAAGGATCTCCTGTTCAATAAATGATGCTGAGAAAACTGGGTAGATATATGCAGAAAACCGAAACTGGACCCCTTTCTTACACCTTATACAAAAATTAACTCAAGATGGATTAAAGACTTAAATGTAATACTCCAAACCATAAAAACCTGAGAAGAAAACGTAGGTGATACCATTCGGGACATAGGCATTGGCAAAGACTTCACATAAAAAATGCCAAAAGCAATTGCAACAAAAGCCAAAATTGACAAATGGGATCTAATTAAGCTAAGGAGCTTCTGCACAACAAAAGAAACTATTATCAGAGTGAAAAGGCAACCTAGAGAATGGGAGAAAATTTTTGCAATCCACTCATCTGTCAAGCTCAAATATTCAGAATCTACAAGGAACTTAAACAAATTTACAAGACAAAAACAAACAACCCATCTAACAGTGGGCGAAGGACCTGAACAGACAGTTCTCAGAAGAAGACATTCATGTGGTCAACAAACATGAAAAAAAGCTTATCATCACTGATGACTAAAGAAATGCAAATCAAAACCACAATGAGATACCATCTCACACCAGTCAGAATAGTAATTATTAAAAAGTCTCAAGAAGCAACAGATGCAGATGAGGCTGTGGAGAGACAAGAACATTTTTACACTGTGTGTGAGAATGTAAATTAGTTCAACCATTGTGGAAGACAGTACAGTGATTCCTCAAGGATCTAGAACCAGAAATACCATTTGATGTAGCAATCCCATGAGTCAGTATATACTCAAAGGTACATAAATCATTCTACTATAAAGACATATGCCTACGTATGTTTATTGCAGCACTATTTACAATAGCAAATACATGGAACCAACCCAAATGACCATTAATGATAGACTGGATAAAGAAAATGTGGTACATATACACCATGGAATACTATGCAGCCATACAAAGGAATGAGATCCTGTCCTTTGCAGGGACATGGATGAAACTGGAAGCCATTATTCTCAGCAAGCTCACACAGGAACAGAAATGAAACAGCACATGGTCTCACTCATAAGTGCGAGCTGAACAGTGAGAACACATGGAGACGGGGAGGGGACAACACAAACCAGGGATGGAGGGTAGTGAGTAAGGGAAGGTAACTTAAAGGACTAATCAATAGGTACAGCAAACCACCATGGCACACATATACGTATGTAACAAACCTGCATGTTCTGCACATGTATTCTAGAACTTAAAGTAAAATAAAAAATAAAATGAAATAAAATAAAAATGCCTCTGAGGGAAAGCTTCTGTTTACTAGTGTTAACACGCTGAGTTCTGGGTAGGGGAATCTCTAACATTTCTATCCTGACCCTGACAACTAGTTTCATGACCTTGAGATATTCCTAGTCTTCTCCAAACCTCAGTTTTCTAACCGACAAATACATATTATAATAATACTTAAGTTTTTATAGAATTGGAAAGACTACTGAGAGATATTACATAGAAACCCTTGATCTGGAAGGTGTATGGTTGCGACCATGGGCTTCTCTGCCACTAACTCTGTATGTGGATGTTATTTGAAGTTTTCTGTCCTAAACTGTAATCTTTGGAGAAGCTGCACAACCACCATCTGGGAACTCATAAAAAAATTGCATTGTATGCCTAAATAACTCTAATGAGCAATTGCTATAGGAATTACTAATCTAACATCAACAAGGAGATGGGAATTTTCAAGGAAATAGGAAATGGTAATGATTTCCTTTTTATAAAGTCAGTTTTCTTTATCTATATTCACAGCATAAAATGCTCCAAAATCTATAAGATACTAAAGATTACACTTCAAAATAAAGCAATATTTTGGGGATAAAAGAATACTATTCTACAATTCAAAGTTGAAATAGTTCAAAAGATTTCAAATATTGTTCAATGTATTGGGACATTTTATTCTTATTTAATTCTTGCTCTGTGTGATATTAGAAAAAGCCTGATCTTGATACTCCAGACGTTAGATAATTGCTGATGACATTTAATCAGGGGAGGATATAGTTAAAATATTATTTGGAGGAGATAGATGAAATGTATAGGCTATATTTAAGCAGGAGAATAAAATAAGATGATTATGGAAAACCTTAAGAAAAATTTAAACTTAAGTTGCAGATGCTCAATGATAATTTTTACTTATTCCAATACCCACTTTATGAGCATTTTATTGTCTACTCTATCTCAAATATTATTTTGGTCCCTGCATTATAGTAAATAAAACTATCTATAAATACATACTTTCTGCCAGGAAGAGTATAAATGTATTTACAGGAGTATCAGTTTGGAAGATAAAGTGTTATTTTCTTTTTCTTCACAGGTTTGACTGGCAAATTCGCTTTTTACTGGTTTATTCTCATTCCTCATACTGCATCACACTACTGTTGCTTTTTGAAGAATTATCATAAGGCAATGCAGAATAAAAGAAAGATCATGATTTACTGAATTCTGTGTTTCATGATACTTACCTTCCTAATTATCATTTGATTAGATACTTGCAATTTAAACTGTTAAGCCATTTTCACTGCTGTTTCTGAGTAATAGAAATTCATTCCTCTCCAAAAGCAACAAATTTCAAGCACGTTATTAGGTGTATGCTCTTTATTTCTCTTGTTTATATTTATATATATAAAGATTTATTTCTTCACTTCATTTTCCCAGTTTGAGTAGCACTGACTGTGGTACTTTATACCATAGCTCTTTTGAAATGATTATTTTTAATTTAGCATGTTATATTCATTTTATCTTACAACCATATGGTCCTCAATCACATCCAGATTACTAGACCTACTGATGCGAACATTTGATTTGTCTCTGGTATCCTTTGTCACAGCACATTTCTTAGCCTTGCACATTCCCACATTTCTTATCTCAGGCCCTACAGTCCAGAAGATAACCCCTATGTGACTCCACAGCAGTAGGCAGGCACTCAGAACACAAACCATCTCTATCAGTTTGTCAGTATAGCCATTGAACAAACATTTATTGAATGATACCAGCTGTCAGATACTGTTCTAGATGCTGCAGTCACAGAAAAAGAGACAGAGCCCTTTTGTCAGAGCTTTTACATTGCAGTTGGGAGATGCAGACAAAAAGTAAACAAATAACACATGACTTAGGTAATAATAAGTGTGCTAAAGAAGTATAAAGCAGGACTAGGATATAGAGGCAGTCTCAAGTAGGATAGTCAAAAATAACCTCTCTGGTATAGGTGACCTTTTAGAAAAGATATAATTTAAAAATGGGAGTGAGCATGAAGAAAGACATTTTCAAGCAGAAGAAATAACAAGTACAAATCCATTGTGAATTTTTTGTTACATATGAGTTGTAGAATAGCTTTTCCACTCTTGTGTAAAAGGATGATAAAGTCATAGGAGTGGCATTGAATCTGAACATTATTTTGGACAGTGTAGCCATTTTAGTCATACTGATTCTTCTAGTCCATGAGCATGGAATGTTTTCCATTTGTTTGTGTCTTCTGTGATTTCTTTCAACAATGTTTTGTAGTTCTCCCTGTAGAAAACTTTCATTTCCTTGGTTAGATGTATTTATAGGTTTTTATTTTTTTGTGCGTGTGGCTATTGTAAATGAGATTGTGTTCTTGATTTGGCACCTTGCATATGATTCATGAATAGAGATGCTACTGATCTGTATCCATTAATTTTGTATCATGAAACTGTACTGAAGCGGTTTATCAGTTCCAGGAGTCTTTTGGTGGAGCCTTTAGGGTTTTATAGGTATTGAATCAAATTTTCATAAAGAGAGAGAATTTGACTTCCACTTTTTCTGTTTTTTATTACTGTAACTTGTTGATAGCTCTTTCTATTTCTTTCAACATTATGTTGAATAGGAGTGGTGTGATTGGACATCCTTGTCTTGCTCCAGTACTCAAGGTGAATGCTTCTAGTTTTTGCCCATTCAGTATGATGGTGGCTGTGGGTTTGTCACAGCTAGTTCTTCTTATTTCAAGATATGTTCCTTCGATGTCTAGTTCTTTAAAGGTTTTTATCATGAAGGAACGTTGAGTTTTATCAAAAGCTCTTTCTGCATCTGTTAAGATTACATGGTTTTTGCTTTAAATTCTGTTGATGTGACAAATCACATTTATTGATTTGTGTATGGTGAACCAATCTTGCATCTCTGGAATGAAGCCTGCTTGACCATGGTGAATTAACTTTTTGATGTGCTGTTGGTGTTGGTTTGCTAGTATTTTGGTGAGGATTTTGCATCTATGTGCATCAAGTATATTGGCCTGCAGT